ACGTAGGGTATTTGGTCTATTTATTTTACGTTATTTTTTTATTTATTTTATTAGATGCGCTTAGTAGTATATATACTCTCAATTTACGTCATCGTATTATATATATATATATATATATATATATATATATAATGAAAAATAAAATACTACTGGACAATCGTGACTGCGCCATGAAATTTGGACGGTGATGAGAGTAGGAAAAATTACTATTCATTTTTGCCTATAGGTGTTGGAAAGGCTTTTTCATATATATATATATATATCGTTGTTGTGAAATTTTTTGTTTCTGTAAGGCCATTCTATCTCCAAAAAAAATCTTTTGCTAAAAGAAAAACTTTCTTTGCTTCAAAAAAAATAAAAATAAATTTGGGCCTCTTTGTTTAAAAGAAGAAAATTTTTTGTTTTATTTTCTTTTAAGGCCATTCTATGTCCCCAAAAAAAATGGTATTTAAGATCATCTTTCTTATCCAATTTTTGTTTTTTTTTTTTAAATGCACGGTTTAATCATTTTTCATTAAAAAAAATTAACTTTCCAAAAAAAAAAATCAACAATTTTTTTAGGCCTCTTTCTTTCAAAAAAAAAAATAACATTCCTCAAAAAAAAAAAACAAAAAAATTGAAATAATTCTTGTACCCTCTTTTGTTAATAAAAAACTTCATTTTCAAGTCTTCCAACTTTTTTTAAAAAAACATTTCATATATTCTTTCCTTTGAAAACATAATAATAATAATTAATACTTTTCAAAGTCCATATTTTTTTTTTTTAAAAAAAAATCCTAAAATTCGTTTTTCTAAAAACTAAAATTTTAAAAGGCCATCTTGCTTAAAAAGAAAAATGAAAAAAAAAAAAACAAAATGAGCTTGTAAGGCTTATTTGACTTCAAAAAAAAAAAGACGAAAGCGAATATCCACTTAAAAAATCACCTTTAAGGCCTCTTCCTCTTTACAAAAAAAAATTACTAAAAAAGAATATCTCTTTTTGTTTCTTTGCTTGTAATTTAGCATTTACTAATTATCTCTAATTTCATTAAAAAAAAGAAAAAAAAA